AGATTTCCTCCATGAGCAGTATGGCATTTCCTTATGCTGTTTGACATCAGGCCAAATTAGGACCCGTACTCATCCTCAAACAGTAGACTAATTAACAAGGGGGCCCCCCAAAGAGGGAGCACGATTTTGGCGCACCCCACATGAGTGCTGTGCAGGCCGATGCAACCGTTCGCCGACAACCGCGGGAAGTGCCTCGCTGGTACAGCGCAACTTGACTGCCTGAGGGACTTGCAGCTTGGAGCCAACAACTATAGCAAAAATAGTGACAAAAAACAGCAATAATCACAACAATAGTCAATAACAACAACAGTTTAATAGCTCTAGTATTTCAGGCTCTGAATTTTCTGCGCCAAAGTCTCATGCCTTCAAGTCATGCCTCATCTGTCCTCATCTGACAGCTTGATGTTTGAAGCCATCCCGGCTGGTCAGGACAGAGTCAACAATCGCCTTCCATCGCTTGATTTGCAGCTATTGGGATTCTTTGGGGAGCCATTGCAAAGATTGTCGCCCCCCTTAGGTAGATAGAATGTTGGGGTATATGGGGATCTCAGTATAACATACCCAAAGCCGTATTCTATCTACTTCAGGGGGACTATAGAGAGAGAGAGAGAGAGACAGAGAGAGAGAGAGAGAGAGACTGAGGAGCTGTAGCTTCCATTTTCTTTTCCATTATCCCTACTATACTATAATCAGTCTGAACTCTCGCCATGGGCCTGTCGAGGGATTGTATTCGGCTGTTCTTGTCACTCGGTGCCTTAAATCCCTGTATTCCCCCACTTTCCATCTCATTTTCCATTTTCTTTTCCATTTGATTCTCCATTCTATTGATTGTTGTTGGTTTGTGCGGCTGCTCAGGTTCAAAGCCAAGGTGCGCTGTCTCAACTCGCAGCAGTCGAAGTTGAGGTGCAGCCACGGCAAACTTGCTTGAGTGCCAACAGCAAACGCTCCGCGTTCAATTCCTTGGCCTCGGGCACCGACACAAATCCATATGATTTGACCACTCTACGCCGAAATACTCCAAACGCCAAAGGACCTAAGCAAGGGGGTTGACCAAAAGACTTGCTGATTCGCGCCTGCACATGAATCTGTTTTGAGGTTCAGGCAGTGCAGCTTCGTGGCCGCCTCATCTGTTCATGGAAGAATTGTAAGGGACTTTTGTTCCATCGATGCAGCAGTTGGGAATTGTTGCCAATGCCTGCAGTTCCCCAGGTGTGGAGGAACTCGCAGCCTTGCCGTTGGACAGCGAGGAGCTTGAAGCCGGGAAGCGGGACCACGAGAGAGAGCACAGCTTAGTTGCCAAGTTTCACGCAGCAATGAGCGACGTGCGCAGTGTCATGATGAGTCACTACGGCGCCATGTTCGCCATCTCATGTTCTCACTCTTGTAGGTGCCGCCTTGACATAAGTGAAGAATGCAGGAGTTGTACAGGTTCAGACTGATGTCATAAACCATCGTAAACCCATGCACCGTGTCAGATCCCATCGAGAGTCTGAGCCGTGTATCGCTTCTTTTGAAGCCAGACTGTCAGATTGCCCTCAGGTGGCCACCACAACCCCACAAGCGCCTTTTGATGGCTGATTTCCTAGCACGGTCAGGGTGACAGCGTCTCTGCTGTGTGCAGTAAGTGAGTGCCACATACTCGCCTTCAGCTTTCACAGCCCCATGGCTCGGCGGTTGGCGCAAGCTCTGCGTCGAGGTGGGGTCCTGCTTCAGTCCGAAAGCCATGTAGTATACATTGTTGTAGATTTACAGTAGCTTCCATTGCATGTTGTATTTTCTTTGCCATTTGACTCTCCATAAATCATTAGCTGATTAGCTATCTCCTCACGACTTCAACATGAATCTGCTGTGTGAGGATGCCGCAATGCCTCCTCTGTGGCGCCCGTTTGGCCTCTTGAGGCCCCTTCCCAAAAATCCAGACGACTCTGAGGTGAGAAAGCTGCCAGTCTGGCCTGTCATGACAAACGTGTGAAGGATGCAGTCGCGAAGGGATTTTTTCAGAAAGCTGCAGCCTCGTGATGTGCGTCTTTTGATGCATTATTTGAATGGTCCAGATTCAGTTGTAAGTCGGCATAGCATCCGCTTATGTGACAGACCCTGCAGGTGGATGCCAGCATCTCCGCAGCTTGGCCCAACAGAGTTTATTGTGGTCATGGCTTGCTACTACCTTAAGATGTCAACTCACCAGTAATAATCATACTAAGATAATAGTAGTAATAATACTAATAATGATAGTAGTAATAATCATAGTGTTAAGAGAGCCATGAACTTATTAAGTGTACAGGTGCTGAAGTCTGCAAGCTGTTGCAGAGAGTGCAAGCGATCTCTGACACGGGAATATTAGTCATGCTTACGGGAAGGCCCTTGCTGAAATGCCAGTTCTGTGCCTAAAATGGAATTCATATGGCCTGTATGCGGAAGTCAGCGGCAGCGCTGGCGTGACTCGAATTAGCAAGAATATTGAACCTGTGATTGAAGCGTTTGCATGACCTGCGAACAGAGCCTTCAGGACGGATCGATTCTGGGCGCCGGTGGCTCCCTGGGATCCATGGGCTCCATGGGAAAAGGGTCTTCGAAGCATGTCCTGCAAGCTCTAGACTCTAGATGACCTGGTAGGGAAGCTTTGAGCTTTTGGAGTCTCCGGGTTGATGACTGCAGCTGTGCCGCAGATTGCAGCAACACAATCACATCGCCCTAGTGCATGATCAATCAGCGAAGCAGATTCTTCCCGCTACATCGTTGCATGCATGAGCCATGTGCTCAAAGCAATGTCAAAATCCCAGGGCGGTGCCTGCTCCCGACATCGTTCCAAGCACGGAGCACTTGACCGGAGAGCTGGCAGAGTTTGCCGGGTAGGACTCTCAGAAAAGCGCAGGATACTGTTTTTGGAGCCGCCAGCCCGGCCGGTGCTCCCTTGCCTCGGCTTCCTCTCTTGCCCTCTCTACGCTCAAATTTTTTCGGGAATTCCCAGCACTTTTGGACGGTCGGCTTCTATTTGCGCTTTCGCTTGATTGCCATGTGTCACGCAACTGACAAGATGCAGCAGGTAGCTCAATGTCGCTTACGGAAGTGCAGAGGTGACAGGGTGGTGTTAATGTGTAGATCCCTGCTGCTGTTCTGCATTCTTGGTCAATCATGACAGTCATGAGTCATGCTGGATCTAGAGTCAATGCTAGTCTTTCCGCAACTGGGCTGTTGTTTTGCTGAACGCTTTTCTCATTGGTGGTATGTTTGCAAACTTGTTCGCAATTTTAGCAAGCAAGGCGGCAGCCAACGCCGCTGCGACTGACTGAAATCTTGGCAACTTAGCAGCACGTCATGCTCTGAGGCACGGGGCCGACGTGTATGTGACAAGGTAATGACTGGTAGTAGCCTCCAAGCCCAGGTAGTGAAGTTACTTTTGATAATAGTAGTTAGAGTAATAATAGCAAGTAATAGTAGTAGCAGTAGTAGTAGTAGTAGGAGTAGTAGTAGTAGTAGTAGTAGTAGTGGTAGTGGTAGTAGTAGTAGCACTAGTAGTACTAGCAGTATTCGTAGTAGTAATAACGAAACAATAGTAAGAATCGTGTCTGCTGGCTGACAGGCGATGAAGACTCCGGACGCCTTGACTTCCACACTTCAGGAGCCTGCTTTAGCTCGTTGTCAAAGATTCCTTTGGCAAGCCTGAGCTCACACGAGAAGTATGGTTTCTATAGGGGGTCTATATGGATACATACATATGTATATATGTATACATGTATATATGTATATATGAGCTAGCCTGAAATAGTGGATAATAAAAAGGGGAAACTATTGAACACTAGGATGATATAGGGCTTAGATTTAGGCGTTATACACGCTTGTGAGATGCACGTGGCAACCTCAGGAGGAGCTTCCAGTGAGGCTTGCGAACCGCATCTTGCCTTGCTTAGATCTGGCATCTGGTGCGCGATGCAAGGCCCTACAACTTGAAAGGCGAATAGTAGTAACCTAGAAAAAAGAATAATCATAAAATATCATGGAGATTGATAGTAATAATAACAGTACTAATAGCCAAATAGTAACAATATTAATGATAGCAATAATTGTAGTAAGGGCATAGAGGGAATGGGGTTGACCGTGGAGTGTTTGTAGCAAGAGCAGTATTCTGGATAATGCCCCAGGGTGCAGAAATGATGGATCGGCATCTGTCGATGCTTTAGCTTCCTTTGCCAATAAGGCATCGCACACCTGGACATGCTCCCAGATCTGGAGGACAAATGGGCAAAGAACTGCCGGGGTAAAAGAATTGAGGCTGAACATGTTGTGATATAACCCCAATATTATAGTAGTTTCCATTTTATTTTCCATTAGTCCCATATAACCCCAATATACTACAGAAGTTTCCATTTTCTTTTCCATTATCCCAAGCCCCAACATCGCTGCTTGGTCCTTGTAGGACTTGGGGAAATCCTTGGGACTGTTTATTTGTTTCAAGGCCAGATTCTCTCCCATGCCATCCATCTAGAGTTTAAGACCTGCCTTGACCCTCCTGCGCTTCTCATTCAGAAACTCGTCGTTATACCGGGACTTAGTTGGGGACTGGTTCGGTAAACTGCCTTACTTGATTTGTGGAGGCAAGCAGCGGCTTTGCTACACCATAGGCAAGTGCTAAGTGCTGCGCCAGGTATAGACGCTAGTTGTCTGCCAGGAGGCACCGGAAATCCGCAGTGTGCGAGAGGACTTCGCCCAAGCCTTCACAGAAGTGCGGGCAGCAAGACCTGAAGAGTCTGGGTTGCTGTTAAGGAAATTCAATTAAGTTACCATATAGCATAGTAAATAATGGGGTTTCCCCAATATAGTAACTTAATTTAAGTTCCTTAACAGCAACCCAGGAGTTTGCGACAGTAATCAAGCGCTTCAAAAAGCGAGCCTTGACTGAAAGCGGATGATGCATTTTGAGTTAGTGGAGATCTCATTGTTTTGTTGCACAGTCTCTTACGCAAGGAAATGAGCACCATGCACTTCGACTCACGCTCGGCATGAAGCAGTGGGGGGATCCATGGCTTGTCTGGCCTATCCAGCTTTTCATAGTTTTCACGCTAGATGGTCCATTAATGCATTCCTGCTGTATCAGGCTTGATCATACATAGGCAGAATATGTATCCTTGACCCAGGGTTGAGCCATTTGTTCCCAGCCCCCTAGGGCTCATAAGAGTTTCCTGGATCGACCTTGGCATGATGAAGGACTTGCAGCGGCGGAAAGGGCAACCGTACGAAGACACGCGTGCATTCATCGACAACTTCCTGAATCGCTTGTTTCTCTCCCGCATCGGCATGGAGACGCTTACCTCCCAGTATCTGGCACTTGCCCGGGCTCCAGATGGTATCTGGAAGCAAGCAGAGCAAATAAAGTTGATTTCCTGGTGTGTTTTCTTCAGAGCTGCTGGCCTGCGAGGCATTGTTGATGTACATTGCGACCCCTGCCAAGTTTGCGCCAGTGCCGCCAAACAGGTTACCGGAGTGGCACCTCGTTGCATTACACCTCCACGGCCACGCCTTTCAAGACCCCGCGGCTGAAGCCAGTTTCTACTGTTGGGATGATGCTTGTTGCGGTCTGGGAAAAGCTGCAGCAGTAGCGTCAGAATCAGAATGAAGTATTCGTGGTACGTTCTTAATATACTTTGCCCTGACAGGATAGGCTGGCGGGCAAGACCCTTGAGCCAGTTCTTGTTGGGACAATTTCTTGTGAGTACAGCTTTCGGTGAGCTGTTTTCAGGTTGATCTCAGCCAGAGTCTAGGGAAGTTTGAACGCGAACCTGGCCGCATCAGAATCACTGATTTGCAAGCATATCCTAGGCCGGTGACTACTTGAGGACGCCAGTATCAATGCGACGGTTAGTGGTGGTTAGTGAAAGGGAGGGAGGGGATTCCTGTGCCGAAGCAGTCTCCTCCAACAAGCATGGTTGTACTCCATGCCTTCCTCCCGAACTAGCCACCAGCAAGGATAGGGTGTCAGTTGAAAAGAGCATGCGAGTGTTGACGGCGGATGCTTGTGTGGAATTTGAACTGCGCTTCAAGCCAGAGCTCCAGTCCATTGTGCAGGAGAGTTCCTAGAATTGAGATCTCATTCCACGGCGACGAGCGTGCTCGCACGCTGCCACTAATCCCGCAATACCTGTTGTACATCGTCGCCGCTCGGCCTGTATGCGTTTGAACTAGCTGGGGACATCAACTGCAGGTAATCAGGTTGTCAGCAGTCCATCCGTTGTTACGTGCGCAGTGACGTGTGAGCAGGGAGAGATGCTCAGGCGGAGCTTCTGAAGAACAGTCTTCGCGCGGTGGGTGATTCTGTGACCGCAGTTAGGAACACCTCTTTTCTTCCAATCTCCTTTGTGACAAGTGTCTGTCAAGATTTTGCTTATCTGCAACAACTCCTGAACTCGCAGCAATCCCAGGAGCTATATGAAGCCAACCCCAATGGCAAGAATGAACCGGACCCTCTGCAGCAGCTTAAATGTGCTGATGTGGGTGACCGCTTTTTTTTTATCGTGTAGGAGCCAAGAGCAGGTAGAGATAAAATCCAGGGACATAAGCAAAACCCTTGTGAAGCGATCAGCAGTGCGCAAAAAGCCTGCAGAGCGATAGCCCCCCCCAAAGCGATATGTTACTTAGCTGTTTACTGACAATTTAGGTAGCTGCTCATGTGACTTGCAGTCTAGACTGCTTTAAAAGGGGGTATATATGGGGGTTAAATAAGGGAGCATCAGAAGGGTTATGAATGGGGGATACCAGGAGTTCAGACTATAGCCCATGTCTTTCTTTTGATGTCGGCGCTAAGCTGGGCTGTCCTAGAAGTCTGAAGGCGAGGTTGCGCATGGATGTCAACTTGGCTTTCTCAGGGTCCTCGAGAAATTTGGAGAATTCTTCACAGGGGCGGTTTGGGGAACATGGGGAACAGCGCCTTGATCACGGGAGTCTCTTACAACATTAATGGTACAAAATGCTGCTGAAAAGGGACCCTGGTGGTGTTCTGATCATCCCCACCTGTGTCTCGGGTCCTTCAGGGTATGGAACCCCCCAACACTCGCTTCTCAGGACCCGGTTCAGATCCGAGTAGCCAGCGACGAGTCGCAGGTGCCTTTGCTTCGCTTGTACTTACAGCTTTGGAGCAGACATCCGCCACATGGTGGGATATCTAACATTTACCATTATTCACTTCCACCACTGCGGAGAATCTGGAGCTCTGCAAAAGTCTGGGTTTCGCTGGAGTTGCCTTCTGTGGCAGGAACAGGGGAGAGATGCGGAACAATAAGGAGTAATCTGTGCGGCTTCACGTTGCCCTCAGCACAGCATAATGCTGGGGTTCAAACCTTCAAGCAAGGGGAAGCTGACTGCCCCAAGATTCGAACTTATGGATGATTGAATTGAATCGTGCACCACCCAGGGTCTGGGAAACTTCAGTAATTCCTGGAGATCCTAACCCTACATAGTAGCTTCCATGTTCTTTTCCATCACCCCTATATAACCCCTATAAACCCTAAACCCTGATATTCACCCTAAACCCTAAACCGTGTTGGACTTGCTGCAAAGTGCGTCTTTTGCCTATCGCGATGCCAGGTTGCTTTGCTGGTGACTGACCGAGGCGGGCAGCCGGATAGCTTGTCCTTTACTGAGCTGTAGTATAGATTCCTGAAAGGGAGCTATATAGATAATGGAAAAGAAAATGGAAACTTCTAACTATGATATTACGGGTATACATAGGCTTATATTATGTTGGGATAATGGAAGAGGAAATGGCAACTACTACTTAGGGTTTAGGGTTTATGGGGGGGATACTTGGAGTTTGGACTATATAGCCTTACTGCTTGGGCAGAAGCCGTGTTTCTGATCCCTTGAGCCTGTGGGAGTGGATATGTGTAAGAAATAACGGCATAGAATCCCTACATAATTCCCATATACAATGCATTCCCTTGTTCCCACTAACCCCCAGTAAGTATGATATTACAAGATTACTATGGTTAGTAGGGTAGCCTCAGGTTATATGCGTTGAAGCTATCTGAATGCAAGTCTCTGAGGAGGTGGCATTCCTTTCCAGAGGCAGCCGCGCGTGTGGAGCTCTTTGGCCTTTCACATGGCTTTCTTACCTGATGTGATTTGGAGCAAGGCTGTCACAGTACCAAAGCTGGTGCGCCTGTGGATATCAGCCAAGGCTACATGTACTCTACTGCGAGGCAGGAATGGTCATCCTGCTTTCAGCACACGTGACCGAATGTCTCTTGCAAAGTTCAAGTCAATGTTGCATTGCTTCGTGCTGCTGGATGGTCATCATCCAACAGCCAAGCGATGCCACGCTCATGGGAACTTTGCATGGCCTCCTGTGCGGTGAATTACACTGTGCTGCGATTTTATTGTGGCTTTGCAGGGGCAACGAGGTGTGCGACGACAGTGGCAGGATCCTTCAAGAGGCGAGGCCGAATATTTCTTGAAGCAATGTATTATTATTACTATTATTATACTATCATTTTTATTTCTATTATTATTATTACTATTGATATTGTTTTTATTCTTGTTACTATTATTATTATTACTACTCTTGCCCAGGGCTCAGCCCCGACCTCCTTCTCAGGAGACTTGGATGCATCTGGGTTGTGCTGGACATACAGCTTGACCTGTGATTTGCTGGCAGGATATGGAGTCGGGTTGCCCTTATCCCGCCTCTACGCCGAGCAACTTGGCAGATCATGCAAGGCCCTGGCTTAACTGAATCTAGCTTTGATAGACTTTACCCAAGAAAAGCATCACAACAAAGCAGAGCCGTGCCGTATAGTACTAAATAACAAACTTCTGTACACGTCTATAACACTCTTCAGAGTGGCTGGCCATGAATAAGTTTCCCAAAATCAGGGTTACATTTTGGAGGACCCCATGATGAGGGTTCTAATGTCTTGGGGTCTATGTTTTGTTCCTCCAAGCGCGCTTGTCGCTGCAGGTACCTGGGGGGCTCGCTGCACTTGATGCACCCTGGCGAATGGACTAAAGCTTGCTATAACTACGCAGGGGTTTGGTTAGGACCATGTGTCAGTGAGTTTCTGTGACTCATGGAACGTCCCCAAGCTTGCCTCCACATACAAGTAGCTATTGCAGTTCTGAAATGCAGGATGCCGATAGTGTACTGTTTCATTCCCGCAAGGCAAGCTGTAAAGGCCGGATCATGAGTGGAGAATGCCACTTGAATACGTTTGATACCACTGGCGCGTCAGAGATGTTGATGCCAACATCACTGTAGAGCAGCCGTTGCCCCGCACAGTTTGCCCAGGGTGTAGCTTTGCGGTTTTTGCAAACTCTTGTATGCTGTGAGTTGGCATAACAAAGCAGGCAGCTGTGGCATGCTGGCACAAGCAAGCTCAGCAACACCCAGGTCGATGCCCAACTTTGGAACGCATGCCTACCTCTTCCTGCAGCAGAGCTCTGACCGAGCTGAAGCGCTTCCCACATACGCCTCTTGTCACAGCTGCTAGTATCACCACTGCAGAGAGATTAGATGGACGGATGGACGTTTGGAATTTGATGTGTTGACAGGACGTGTAGTAATAATGTGTAATGATTGCGTGGCCTCGTTAGTTTCACTGGAACACTCACCAGAGACAGAACCGAGACGACCCAGCTATTACCGGCCAAGGTGAACTGGCTTCGGAAAAGACGGTTGCGGGAGGATATCCTCAAGTATGATTCTCGGATCCAAATAGACATTCTTTTGGCCAGCCCTGCAGTCTGCAATGGCCCAGGAGTCACAAGAAAAGCTTTCAGCAGAGCCTTGGATGGCGCTTAGTTCTGGCACTGGATTCCTTGCATGAAATGCTGGATGCTGAAACTTTCAACTGAACTGATCCTCGCTTTCAAGATTGTCATACATGTCTGTTGTTGTTTGTTTGTTCGCCGCCTATGAGTGGCGAGTTCGCCACCTCTGAGTGGCGTGTTGCTGTGTTGAGCGTAGTTTTAGTGTCTAGTTTTGTTGTCTCTCCTGTTCTGCTTGCGCCCCACGTACTTTTGCACTTGGCATATGGGAAACATCGATTTCCTCGTGCGACTCCCCCCCAAATGCACATAGTCAGAATGTCCGTGTAGTTGCACTTTTGTGTGACGACTAGTCCGGGGTTCTCGAAGTGGCAGACAAGCGGAAATGTTTGCAACATTCAGGGGATGTCCATGTCTGTCTTTTTCATGACAGATTCACGCCTCCGTCCGATTGCCGCACCAGCGGTTCAAGCGACAGCCTAGCGCCAGTGAGAGAAACGTCCGTGATCGTGCGCTACTTGTGGGGTCTAAGTGCAGTGTTAGGTCAAGCGAGCGACTGTACACTGTTTGCGTCAGGATAAAAAAAGGGGGAAGGGGAGGTGGACGGGGCAGGGGGGTGTATTTGGAATACTATATAGCCTTTGTATTATCTATGGCAGTACATGTCCATGTCAGTCCTCTGCATAGCATGTTACTGCTTTCTGCTTGTCAACCGCTCCAGTGGTTCAAGTCGGCATGACGCCGACGGTATGGCATAGCGCCGGCCCACGAATGTCTCCTTGTATTAGGTCAGTTTGTACATGAATCTTTATTATGGCCTGGCGGCAGGTGCCTTGCCCACCCAGCTATCAAGTGAAAGCCAAGCCCACCCCAGCCCTGCTAATACTCCTGACAGAGAAGTGCACGAAAAAGTTATGTTCTTGTTACCTGGGATGTTTGTTTACGTTGTGAAGACCCTGTTCTCTCTGGTTTAATTGAAAGTGGCCCAAAACGGGGTCCCAATTGTGCTAATGATGTTCCTGTACGAGGCGCGCGCGCGCCTAACATCAGCTGCACAATTGGGACCCCATTTTGGCTTGATTGGGACCAGGAAGGGTCAAAAACCCAAAGAAAGCCATCAAAGATGACTTTAGACATGGTTCTTTGCGCAGGCTGACCATGTTTAGCCCACAAGTGTATTTTTGTAGCAAATCAGCTGCCAATAGCAGCAACATTTCACGCATTTGACAAGCTTAGGAAATTCTAAAGTGCTGGAAATGTGGGCAAACAAAACACACCCAAAAACCATGCAACATGCACATTTTATAGGGTTTGGTCTGGGCAATGCACGCCAAACCTGTTTCATGCTTGTCATACAGTGCAGATCCTACCAACACTGTTATTTGAGGGTTGTCCAAAAACCCTTGTTTAAAATTTATATAGACGAAAACCATATGTAACATAATTTGTCCAAAGCCCTGCGCGTGCAAGCTTCGCGCAAGCACGGCGCAAGGTCGGCGCAAGGGCTCGAAAACGCTCATGTTGTGCTAGTATCACTGTTACTACTTAATCCTAATTACTGTTGTAGTTCCCACTATTATAGTCCCCTTTAAGTAGATAGAATATGGCGCTGGGTATATGATTATAAGATCTCCATACACCCCATATTCTATCTACTCAAGGGGGACTATACTATTTTGTATTCCAAGGAGGCCATTGACATTGCACTGCGGCAACAGATTGGTATCCTTCAGTAGCCGTTGTGCTTTAAGGGGTCCAGTTTATTTAGTCTTTGGAACGCAATGGCTCCAGAACCCCCAGCAGTATGCGGAATAAGATCCTGTTGTGGCGCAGTGGAACGCATTGGCACCTTCCTACGCTGCAATTCTTCGGCTCACCATCGAGGCTACTTGACTCGTGACGGGCATGGTGCAATCTCATGGAAATGGGCCACACGAGGAGCACAAGAGTTGACCAAGAAGGGCCTCATTGTACTGAATCAGGATCCAGATGCTGCACAGGTTGTGGGCGATGCAGGGCAACAAGGTGGCGGGGAGCAACACGGTCCCGCAGAGCAGGGCGCGCAGAATCCTAATCCTACCACTCCAGAAAGGGCACAGGATGCAGGCGACGTTGCGATGAAATTCTGTGTGTAAAGTTTAGAGTGTGGTGTTGTTGATCTCACCCCGGTAGGTGCACCAGCGGACGAGACTCCCGTCAAACAGTACGATTTCAGCGACCGCCTGGTCATAAATCGCCGCAATTTTGGTGGGTCTGGCGTCAAGCGTCTTCCTTCCTGCGGAGTATGCTTGGTGGATAGGGACGACACGTGCCACGGGCATCTTTGAGTCGTTTATGAAGGGTTGAGGCTGTTCTCTCGAATCTTGAAGCGTAAGCTCCAGACCCTAAACCGCGCAAACAGATAAGCCCCTGGAGCCTGGAAAGTCCACAAATCCAGCCAAGGAACACATGCATGTTCTGTCAGCAAGAGATGCGCAAGCGGGAGCAACGCAGTTGGATCAGTCTGAGCCAGGAAATGCAGAAGGATTGCTGGTCAGCACGAACTTAATTTTTCTTGGGTCGAAATAATCTTTTTGCGTAAAAGTAAACCCTACTTGGTTGTCGGTTGTCCTGAGTGCCCATTCGTTTAAACACGCAGGAGATTTCGGCTGCGTCGAAGCATGTGCGCGCGGAGTATGAGCAGGTCAAAGCAAATTCTGCGGCTGAGAAAGCCGATATGCATCTTGCGGAGCTTATTGCTGCAGAAGTAGCCAAGCGAATCCGCCAGGAGAGACCCAAAAAGTGATGACATAAAGTAAAGGCTGTTCCGGGGAAACACTGCTTACACTGGCGGGGTACGCTTGTGTCCAAACTCAAGCATCAGACGTGCCAATTGAGCACCGAACCAGTGTGTCCAAGCGTGAGGGGGTGCATCCACATGAAAGAGCAAACGCATTGAACGAACCAAATATGAGTACTGGGGCCCCTGATTAACCTGAAGGATTGTCATGGTGCACTCCAAGTAGTATGTATTGCCCTTACTACCATTGAAAACCCACTGGTGCATTCCAAATATTATGTGTTTGGTGCCCCTGGTATTCTTGGAGATTGTCATAGTACATTCCAAGTATTATGTGCTGGGCCCCGCTGCGACATCTTGGAAATCTCGCAGAACATATTCCAAGTATTATGTGCGGGGCACTTTGGGAAATCTCATAGAACATTCGAAAGATTAAGTGCTGGGTCCCCTAGTACGCCTGCAAAATGCTGTAATAGATTCCAAGTATTATGTGTTGGGTTCCCCTTTTATTCTTGGCGAATGTCATAGTGCATGCCAAGTATTATATGTTGGGTTCTCCTTTCATTCGTGGGAACTCCCATAGTGCTCCACAAGTAGTACGTGTTGGGTCCCCTTACTACCCTTGAAAATGAAATAGCACATTCCAAGTATTATGTGTTTGGTGCCCTGGTATTTTTGGAGAATGTCATAGTACATTCCAAGTCGTATTATGTGCTAGGCACCTTTGGGAAATATCATAAAACATTCCAGGTGTCATGCGCTGGGTCCCCTATTACCCGCGCAAAATGTTGTGATACATTCCAAGTATCATGTGGTGGGTCCCCCTATTTTTTTGGGAGAATGTCATAGTACATGCCAAGTTTCTCCTTTTATTTGCGGAAACTCCCATAGTGCTCCCAAAGTAGTATGTGTTGGGTCTCCTTACTACCCCTGACAATGAAATAGCGCATTCCAAGTATTATATGTTTGGCGCCCCTGGTATTGGAAATTGACATAATGCATTCCAAGTATCATGTGCTGGGCCCCGCTGCGACATTTTGGAAATCTCACAGAACATTCGAAATATTGCGCGCTGGGTCCCCCTATTACCCCTGAAAAATGCTGTGATACATTCCAAGTATTATTTGTTGGGTTCCCCTCTTATTCTTGGAAAATGTCATAGTACATTCTAAGTATTATGTGCTGGGCCGGGCTGTTACTTCTCAGGATTCTCACAAAAGATTCCAAGTGTTATGTGCAGGTTCTCCCTATTACCCTTGCAAAATGTTATGACATGTTTCAAGTACTATTGGTTGGGCGCCCCTATTATTCTTGAAAAAGTTCATAGTACATTACGAGTAGTATGTGTTGAGCCCAACTATTGTTCTGGGAAAACGTCACAGTGCATTCCAAGCATTCATGTGTTGGGTCCTTGTACTATTCTTGGGAAATGCCATAGTAGATTTCAAGTACTATGTTTTGGGCCCCTTTACTACCTTTGAAAATCAAATCCTGCATTCCAAGTATTATGCACGGGGTCCTGTTGGCCTAACGATGAAAGCCATGACATGAACAGGAAAATTCTGAAGTGCACGGCGAATCCGCGCAAGCTCCGCGCAAGCGCCGCGCAAGCTCCGTGCAAGCGCGCATAGCTCTGGGAAGCCTCTGGCCCAATATGGCTCCTTGAATGACTTTGGCGGCGACATTCAAAAAATGGCTGGTTGCAGGCCAGCCGAGTGACAAGCGTGGGCAAAGGGATCTTTCGGTTCCTAACGCTATTACTTCCGTGCAGTGGAACAAGCTGGTCACACATGCTCGCAACAAAACGATGACGGCGCTGGGCAAAGAGCTGGAAGAGGCAGCATCCAAGCACATGGACCATCCGAAGCCCACAGCGGCGCAACGAAAAGCATGGAAAACTGCAGCTGCGGGCAAGTTTTTCTTTACACTGTCAGCTGAGCTTCAAGATGGTCTCACGCCAGCTGGCCCTGCTTTGCGCTCTGGTTTGATGGATGCAGCTGCTGCGGCGGTGCTGGGGGTCGAGTGGACACCTCCGCCTCAGAGTGAGGCTTCCGCCAGCAGCTGCTTTCCCATAACACGACCTCAAGCGGCTGTGCCTGGAGTTGGCAAGCGCCTCTTGGCCAAGGAACTGGCTGATCGGCTATTGGCTGAGGCGGGGAACGGACAGGATGCCCTGGAGGTTTTGGCCAGCATTCAGCGACGGGTAGCTCGACAGTTGCCAGAGTGGCGTGAAACGGAGGATTGCAATCAGTGCGGACGCGTAGCTCCGGCGCGGCGCAG